GCAGATAATCTCTTGACATTATGCTTTTTTGCTGGCTGTAGCAGCGCTATAGCGCCGCACCGCAAAAACGCACAAAAAAGTCCACGAGAGAACTCCGACCCTTTTATGTAGGGAGAGCCAAAAAACATCTTACAGTACATGTTCGATTCTTCTAGGATAATTTGACCGAAAATGTGAATGTTGCACTCTCCAACAATTGAAGGTGCAATGGCGAGCACTGCTGGCCAAGTCCTTATACTACTTTTGCAAATAGAAGAAACCCTCAGAAAACAGCAAGAGATTATGGTGCAGCAAATTACCGCCAAATCCTGGCTACTTTATTCTAGGTTGTAGCGCACAAGGTTAGTAGGCACGATCACGCGTTTTTGTGTTTAACTTGAGGCAACCAGATCGTTAACATTATGAATGTGGTTGCTTTACATTCAAACAGTGTAATGAATATAGCAATTTTTCGTGGAGGAAAATGAATAATTTCTGGCGACCGACTGCTGCTGAAAATGAACTAGCTGTGTTTTGGTCCCCTTAGTAATTTTTACATCGAAAATGTCGCGTGTCCGTACGTGATAAACAAGCGTACTTAAAAGCTGAGCTTAAAAATTTCAGGACGCATGTGGCTGGAAAATATCTTCCCAAAATTTGGGCTTCCTCGCGTACCTGGTTCCCAAGTCAACCCACCAACAATTTTTCCACTGAAGATATCACGCGTCCGTGCATGAAAATCAAGCGTGCTTAGAAAGCGAATTCGAAATCTTTGAGTTTTACGTGGGTAAGGAACATTGCTTTGAAATTTTAGTTCTTCAGCTTTTCTGGTTACCAAATTAGCAATTCCCTGCTAAAAATTTCATATGCCCACACGTGAGACTCAGCTGTTAGAGAAAGATAGTGCTGCTTTCCTGGACTATTACTTAGCCGGGGAACCCACTGACAAAATTTTAGCATTAAAGCTCTCGTGGTTGCCGAGTTGAAATATTCGGACAGACACACACACCATGGTCCGTTGCAGTATGCAATTTCTTACTTACATAAATGCGCAAGAATGTATAAAAAGGCTGATCACAACGACTTGATTTCATTTTTTTATTTTCCGCAGCCAGTAGGTTGGTTTATCATCAAGTCGCTAACTGATAAATTGCAAGCGATGAGGATGAGTGGAGAGCGAGCTTGCAGTCCATTTGGAGAGATGTCTGAAAGCTGGATTAAACAAACAGTCTGGGTAAATTGATGTCTTTTATGACGAGGCAGCTTTTCGTCTGAAAAAAGGGAGGCTTTTCTACTTATTAAGTAGTTCCTTCTGAGCAATGAAAGGAAGTTCTTATAATAAAGCATATACATGCTATGGAGGTAAGAAACACCAACTGGGATGGGTTGCCGGGAATATGCTGAATTACGTCAAATCCGCCA